GGTGGGACAAGCCGCAATAGTGGTTCAACCGAGACTGTGGGTTAGGATCCGACTTACCCCCGCTGCCCCCGCAGGCGTCCTTGGCCTGGCGTGTGGCGAGCTAAGGCCCTGAGGCATGACTGTCCTCTCCCCCGTGCAGACAGCTGTCGGAGGAGAACGCCAACCTGCAGGAGTACGCCGAGAAGGAGGCCCAGGAGAAGAAGAGGCTGAGCCGCACCAATGAAGAGTTGCTCTGGAAGCTCCAAACTGGGGACCCAACCAGCCCAATTAAACTCACCCCCACTTCCCCTGTTTACCGAGGCTCCTCCTCCGGACCCTCCTCACCCGCCAAAGTGGTCACCACGCCCAGATGACAACGCCACGCGGCCCTCGGAGCTGCGGCCCCTCACGCACCCCGCGCTTCCACCTGGAGGGAGTCTGGACCGCGGCCAGCCCCGCGCATGCTCAGGAGCTGCACAGCGGCGCCCTCCCCGGGTCCACTGCTCTTCCCCTGCGTTGGCACTGAGGGAAGTGTTCGAGGTCGTGTCTGATGTGCAAACGTTGGACCGTAGTTAGAGCCAAAAGAAAGAAATGCCAGTTGTTTTTGAGCAATGAATTTTCACTGCAGAATTTCAGGTTAGTGACAGATAGTTCAGTTTGGAATCTATACTGAATAATCATTGTGTGCTGCACCGATGTGTGTAGATATGTCAATGAACGTATCTGCACACGCGGTGGTTCTAAATTGCATTTTTTATAACATGAAGTGCTGACATATTTTGGTGAAGGTCAGCAGTTTTCTAACTTGTGCCTAAGAATACTTGGGAAATGAAAATGCATTTCTATCTAGCTTCCCAGGAATATTTCTACCCAAAATAGAAAAGAAAAAAAAAAAGATACTGAGAAGAAGCGCCTTTCGACCTGCCACCAAGTGGTACTGTATCTAACACAAACACCAGCGACTTGTGAACGGTAACTGCCTTTGGAACAATCAGCTTCTTAGTCAACATGATCTGAAGTCACCATTACTCCATTCGCAGGCTTTAATGATCAAGGCTCCTGTGGTGAGCGGCTAAGGGAGCGCAGTGGGAAACCCTGCGGGGTTTAGCAGCTTTTTGGATGTTTCGACATGACAGTGAATCATCTATAGTCTTGTAAACACAAGTTTTGCTTTTTTCCTAAACGACATCCTGGAATCTGTCCTTCAGCTATTGCTCCCTCGGGGGAAATATGGGAGAGCAAGCCCTTCTGGAGGGAGGGTGAGGATGACCTTGGAGTTGACCAAGACCATTCGCCCTGCGGCCTCAAGAGGAAAACTGCTGACAGGATCTGTGCCCTGACTGAGCCCAGAGCAGGGACGCTCTGGCATTCTAGGTGGTTTGCTCTGATCTGATGCTGCAAGTGGCCAACCCACCGATATGACCCTCAGGCCCCCATTCATAGCAACCTCCCCTTCAGTTTGGTTCAGTAACTCAGTCCCATCACTGTGCATTGAGATGGCTCAGGGGTTCTAGCAGGGGCTTCCAGAAAACCAGTTCTTCCGTCCTGGGGGAGCAATTCTACGCTGAGCTAGACCATCCCTTGACCCTCCAGGAACCCAGGTGTATTTTCTGTAGGATCATCGAGCAATGCCACAGCTGACAGTGCTCCATCTTAGACCCAAAAGGTCCTTCCACACAGAGGAGCCCACTGAAACTCCAGCCAGTGGTCACTGGCTACTGGACTGGCATCTGTCTCTGAAATGGTAGAATTAGAGCGTGAGAGGTGTTCCTGTAGTGCTGTGGAAGGTTAGGAGCATGACACCCAATGGGGAAGTAGTTTTAACAATTGATATGATGATAATGATGCCTTTGTTTCCTGTTTGTGACAGAGACCCTGTACTTCCCTCCCTAAGGCCCCTGGAAATTGTCCTGAGCACAGGGCAGTCTTTGAGTATGACCAAGGCAAGTGGACTCAGGCAGGGACATCTGTGGTGGGGAAGAGACGGCCCACAGAAGGAAGGGGTCGGCTTGCCCAAAGGCCTGCCTGCTTCGCTCACATGAAGACAGACCTGGTCTGTGTTCCCTGCCTGAGTCACGGTTGGGCTTCTGCTTAAGTTCCATCTTGTTTCTAGCAAACCTCCAATAGTATCCGCCCATCCCGGGGACATACACAGTAGATGCCCATCAAAGAAACATTTCTCCTCTCATGGCTCTGCATGATGCTGAGATATTGAGTCGGGCATTCCATTAGAGTAGATTATGCCACGTTCACAAAGTACACAGTTATGTCTTCTTTTAGCGGCACCACCTCCAAACACAGTTTCAGCGGTAGCTCAGCTCTCCAAATTAGGAACTGCGTCCATAGGGACACCTGCTAAATGCAGTTACACAGCAATACCGACTCCAGTGTTCTGTTAGGATGTGCTACAGCGTGTTAGCCTATTGTGGCCAAGGCGTGGTGATGTTAGCACTAAATAATCCCTCACCAGGTGGACTGGAGCTCTGCCCTGACCAGCCCTCACCTTGGGCACTTGAGCTAATTCCTACGTTGCCCTGGCCTCGTCCTTCACCGTGGACTCCCGTCACCTCTGGCCGTTATCCTGGAACTGTGCTCCCTTCTGCCACTCCGCACGCTATTAGGACTTGGACCTCTCAACATGGAAGTCCTGGCATCACGTCCCAGGCCCGAGCTGTTTCCACTTACAGATGCCGCAGCTCCGCCGCCTCAGACAAACCCATCAGACCTCATCGACCTTTTCTTGGCATTTGGGAGCTGAGTGTGTGCCCTTCCCCACTGCCGGGCCCCCGAGCCGGGGCAGGATTCTAGCCGGGTGTCTGAGAGGGGAGGGGTTGATGGACTGGCACACTGGGTGTGATTGCTTGAATGGGGTCACACATTCCTTACCCAGCCCCTACACTTTCTGTATGGCATATTTGTGTTTGAAGCATATTAAAGTTAATTTGAGGGAGCTCCCGTGACACGCACTTGATGTAACTCTTGGCCTGACCGGCTCAGGCTTGAGGAAATTCGGGCTGGATCCATAGCAGCCAGGGGGGTGTTTGGCAGGCTGGATTTTTTTTTTCTGTGTTTTGCCAGGGTCAGCCACTGAGTCTCCAGACCTCTTGCCCTGATTCAACAGGTTCGAGGCCCCTACACCCATATTTGCAGCCCAGGATCTCCAGGAGCCTGGTCCTGGCTTTCGGGGGGCTCAGTGACTCTGCTCAGCCCGCTGTCTTTAGTAGGCTGGGTGGGCTGGAGTCAGTGGGAAAGGGACACAAAAGATTGAGTGCAATTCCTTTACCATCGATTTCAAATTCAGCCCTAGGCAGGGTTATGATTCTACCCCCAATGAAAGTTTGATGTGTCCTAAATCCTGCCAGTTCATGCCTGGATGGCCATAGAGCTCTCTCATGAGCAGCAAGGAGGAGCCCTCCTGGTGTGATGGTCACAGACAGCAGTTCCTTATCGCGCACAACGATCTGTCAGGCTTTCTCATGCCAACAGGGGACACAGGAGCCTGGACAGCTCGGTGGCTCTTCCTATAATACTCTGTGCAGCCAGCACATTTGTTTCAGCCTGAAAGCACTTGCTCCCCAATCCTGACCTCTGGTTGGGTTGCGGCCAGCTTGGCCAGCCTGCCCCTGCTTAAGGATGCAAGGGAGACCCCTAGTTGTCCAGTTCCCTGTGGGGCATATAGGAGTGGTAGGGACTTTAGTGAGACTGTAGCAAGTCTGCCGTCCTGAACAGCTGCTGAACAAGAGAGCTTTCGAGGATGATAAATCCCCTTGAGTCACTTCCAGACCTGCAAGGACCACAGAATCCCCTCTAAGTCACCCAGCTTCCAGGTTATTGATAGTGACGACCTATTTATTGATTCACTTGTCAACCTGTCCCAGCCTGTTAGTGTCTTTTGATGTGTCTTGTGTCCTCCACTTTTATAATAACCACTTTCCTTTCCCCCCACACGTGAGGTCTCACCTTTACTGAGCAGGCGGGTGACTCAGCCACTGGCATGTGCAGGGAGTGACGACGTTAGAGCCGCTTCCTCCTGTCTGCAGAGAACTCTCCCCTCTCACAGCTGATTTGCAGCAGGCAGAAGAGACCTCTAAAGTCAACCACTTGGTCACCTCCTCTGTGCAAGGAGCCTTGCACAGCCGGCTCTCCCTGCGTGGGACTTGGGTCACTCATCTCAGCAGGAAGGAGCGATGCTCAGGTAGAAACCCGGAAGTGGGTACAGGCATACTGCGGAGATATTCGGGTTCAGTTCCAGACTACAATAAAACAAATATTGCAATAAAGCAAGTTGTAATCTTTTAACTAGTGGAGGGCCTTGCCTTCAGTTTGTAAAAAATGCAACATGTGTGAGGTGCAATAAATCAAAGCACAATAAAACAAGGTGTCTCACCTGTTTGAACAGCTGGTGCTGCCTCAGAGTATAGCAGTGATGGCGAACCTTTTGAGCTCGGCATGTCAGCATTTTGAAAAACCCTAACTTAACTCTGGTGCCGTGTCACATATAGAAATTTTTTGATATTTGCAACCATAGTAAAAGACTTATATTTTTGATATTTATTTTATATATTTAAATGCCATTCAACAAAGAAAAATCAACCAAAACAATGAGTTCGTGTGTCACCTCTGACACGCGTGTCATAGGTTTGCCATCACTGGAGTATAGGCATCAAACCAGATCTCTGGGACTGCACAATGTTATTATGAATCAGCATTCTGCCCACTGGAATGTTTGGATCAAATGCTTAAATATACACAAAAAACACCCAAAGTTGTTAAGACAAGGGCAATTAAATCACTTAAGTTTGCTTAATATCTTTTTTAACCACTCTGCTTCTCTCAAACCTCTTAAAAACAAAACAACAGGCTCCCTGTGTTCAGCCAGCCCAGCTCTGTTCTCCACCCCCTCCCCCGGGGGGAGGAGCGGGGGGGGGGGGGGGCGCTAGTTCAAGTCTCTGAGGCTCTTCCAGCCAAGACACAGCTCTAAGCTGGAGTCACTCTGCTGCAAGTGACCCAGGGTCCTGGCTGGGTGCAGCACGCCAGGGCACCCACTGCACGGACAACCAGCAGGCCACCGCGCACAGCTGCTGCTCTCTGGGTGGTGGTTTCTGCCTTCCCTGCACCCAGGTTAATGTAGCAGGGGGTGTATTGCATCCCCTCTCCAGTGACTGCAGACCACCGGCAGGCACTCAGCAAGTGACTTCATTGTGTTTTTAAAAAATGTTTTCTATTTAATGATTTGAGAAAAAGACAGAAACATCAATTTGTTGTTCCACTTATGTATGCACTCATTGGTTGCTTCTTGTATGTGTCCCGATCGGGGATCAAACCCGCAACCTTGGTGTATTGGAACAACACTCAAACTGAGCTACCCCACCAGGGCCAACTTCACTGTTTTGCGAAGTAAAATGTTAAAGTATCCGTGAGAAAGTGTAACTCGCACAGCTTCTCCATTTCCCCACCCAACCTGAGTCCCCTAGGATTAGGTGCTGGCCATCTGAAACAGGCCAAAGGGCTCAGCTCGTTTGCAAAAGTGCTGCCAGTTTGGTCCCTGAGCCTTTTCTCACAGTACATTTTTCAGTGACTGCATTGATGGGTTGGTAGGCAGGCTTGATTTGCTCAAACGAAACTGTTCCCTTTGAATAGGGGCCAGCAGTGTTACCCCCAGTAGGTATTCCAACCCCGCCTTGCTCTGGGGGCTGAGCCAGGCTGGGCTAGAGTGGTCGGTGTGCAAGGTGGCCGCAATTCCTGGCTGTCACCTGGTGAAGAGCCTTTACAGGATTCCTTGTTACTGCGAATGCCAAGCTGTTGGCACAGCTCTGGATTCAGCAGAAGTGTATCATAACCAAACTGTGCAGGGAAAAGGTGCTTCGGGCGACTCTCCCAAGGCCTGCAACCTGGATCCTTTCTGGGGCTCAAGGTTTCCCTAAGAAAAGGCTGGAAACCCTGTGGCAGGCCACTAGGTGGCAGTGTGGCACTGCTGGAAGAGGCTTCACCATGCGCTCAGCTCAGGCCAGTGCTTAGCGGACACTCGCATCCCCTGCCACCATGGTCCTGTCCCAGTTCTGGGCTCTCTGAGACACTGACGCCCACTGGTCCTGAAGGCCAGCGACTGGGCTCACTGGAGACCTCTGAGAAGTTGCCCTGGGGGGTGCAATGGACTCCTGCCTGCCGGCGTCCCCAGACACTGCACACCCTGGGGACATGTTGGGGACACTTCCACACCGTGGGGTTTGTGTTCCACTTTACCATCTGGCCGACCACCAGGTGATGTGCCTGGTCGTCAGTATTTTATTCCCCATGACAAGCCGCCAGCGCCAGGCCCAACAGCAGCTCCCTGCCCTTCTCTCTGCTCTCCTGGGTGTCCCCTCCAGCACTGTCATCAGCTGAGATGACACACAGGTTAGGCCTTGTCTTTCTGGCAACAGATTTGCCCACGTGATCACTGGATCACTGTGTGTCAGTGTCTGAGAGCTAAGGTCAATTTGACTGAATTTGCCTTCCTTGCAAGAAAATGATCCTTTCTCAAGGGGAACGGGACAGATAGATCAAGTATTAGAACAGCTACAATCCTCCCCACCCTCTCCCTGCGCTGCATGCACCCATCCTCCCTAAGCAATGGTGGGTGTGGAGGGGCGTTCTGGTGAGGGGTTTAGCTGCACCCCACACCCAAGTCCTTCAGCAAATGAAACCTCTGGGGCCCAAACCCAAGCCAAGTCTGGAGAGTGGGCAGCGGGGAGACAGCGACAGAGGATCATAAATGAGGGCTCTAGGGGTTCCTGGCTCTGGGTTTCCCAGCTTATTGTTGGAATAAGGATTCCCACCCAATGGCTGAAGGAGGCGATAGAACACCGGCCTGTGGGGAGGCAGGAAGATACTACAGAAGCAAAGCGCGGGATCTGGACCTCTCGGTGGGGCACTGCCACTCCTGGGGACCTGGCCAACGCTGCTGGAATTCTTGAGACGGACACCGTGCACACTGAAGCTACAGAATTTATTAGAATTTGCAGAAGCATGAGATAATGTACCACAAAACAGTTTGATTTTACAACATCAAGTACAGTAAGAAGTTGTCGATGCACAGTGTTGTCAGCGAAAATGGGATGCAGTTTCACATTTTAAAAAAGTGATGGGCAACATCTATGCTTGTTCTTAAAATAAAGTGAAAACAGGAGGGACCAGCAGAGACCAACCTGATTTGCAGTTAGCGTTAAAATCTAACTCTAGTATCATAATTGTAAGAAAACTATTAGAAAAATAGAGCATCAAACAAAAAATACTTTACAATTTACATAATAAAAAACAAAACTCATTTAATAATGGCTCCATGTTCAATAGAAGAAAACGTTCACTGGAGAAACCACAGCTCTTCAGGTTTGGTGATAAGCCAGCCCTCATGGGGATCATCACCCTTGGTGCTCCTTGCACCCAGTGATGCTGAAAGGCACAACTTAAACAGGAAACTTATTTTAAATATATATCATAGCTTCTCAAATAGGAGAATAAGTTCTCAAATTAAAAAGTTTATCATCAAGAAACACAAGATCATACCTTGTTACTAAATTAGCAAAGTCTAAGTGCATCTTCCTAGCCCTGCTTCCTGAGCCTGCGGACACTCTCACACCCTGAGAAAATCGCCTGGACTTCACGGCCAAGGTCGTCCATCTCAAGCTCCACATCTGGAGAACGATCCAGGATGGCTCCTTGGTAACTGCGCCTGAGACCCTTGGTCAGTCCATGTCCCCTTGAAAGAGAGCGCTACTTCAGCAAGCAATGGGCACAAAACTCTGGATTATAGTGACGGAGATGAACGTCAGTTGACATTTTCTGGCCTAATTTTCAGGCATCACAATGACGATGAGGAAATACAGAGTTTAGCTTCTTACACCACTGGATGGTAATAAAGCATTTCATTACCAAAAAAAGTCCAGGAGAGTCTGACAAAATCTACATCTCCTCTCCCCAAAGAACCTTAAGTACAATACTCTCCTTATGATGGCAAACAGATATAGTTTAGATTATACATAACATATCTAGTTCCATTGAAAGGGAACTAACCAGTTCCATAAATACGCATCACACACCTTCGCCCAGCAGGATGGATGTGCCCACAAACACTCCCTCTCCATGCATCCTGGAACACGCTGGTCATGGGGCCTGTCTTCATGGTGATGGCTTGTATTAGGTGTTTAACAGTGGGGCCTGGTACAAAGCTAGGCAGAGGTCCCCAAAATGCCAGTGAGCTTACCTAATGGGCAGGGCCTCCGTGAGGTGTGTCCACACTCACCCAAGGAACCCAGCCTCCCACCCTGACCTCATAGGTCTGTCTCCAATGTTAGGTTAGAGGCCATCCTATTGGGATTGCAAAACCTAGTCAATTCAGACAGCCTTAGTGGTGGGAGTGGAGGGAACACCTGACAGAATCCACCTTCCCACCCCCACGCATGCAGCAGAACCACTGCAGTGGTCAAGGATCAGGCAGGGCCAGGTGCCTCGTCCAAGTGTGAACGTAGGCCTTGCCACAGGGGCAGAGGGCAGTGTGTCAGGGCCTTGGGAGCTGGGGCGGGAACACACAGCAGGAGGCAGACCTGTGGTGTCCAAAACACACATCAGCACGTGGGAGCAGGTGGCTGATTGCCTGATAACGCAATGGAATAAAACCAAAGGTGGGCAAGATGTGAGGGGTTCTGGCAACAGTCCTTCCAAAACAGCCTGGAAAAGATGGCTCTATCACTACTCCTTCTTGGTTTGGAAAAAGAAATCCAGCTCAGAGTTGGGGCGAGGGAGTGTGAGCTGATGGGGCAGGGTGGGGCATGTGCAGAGGCCAAGGGTCCCCCTTCTGGAAGGTCCCAGAGGCCGGCTGTTTCCTTGGAAACCCCTTCCCTCTCCCTCTTCAGCAGAGGCCCTGGGGCTCCAATTTGCTCCTTTGTGAGTTTTCAGGCCCTGGAAACATGCGATGGGAATTCAGAGGCAGGAAGGGGCACTTACTCAGCACAAAGGGTCTTTCCCTCCTCAGCATTTGGGGCTGGGGCACAGATGAGTAGACACAACATCCCCAGAGGGTCTCCAGATGTGTGAAATTTGTGTAGGAAAATACTGGCCGAGCTGCAAAACTGACAATCCTGTTCTTGTTTGGTGGGAGGAGCACTTTCGGTGGATTTTCTTTTTGCCTGAGTGTGTGTGTGTGTGTGTGTGTGTGTGTGTGTGTGTGTGTGTGTGTGTGTGTGTGTGTGTGTGTGTGTGTGTGTGTGTGTGTGTGTGTGTGTGTGTGTGTGTGTGTATTTCAGGGGCAGGATGAGGTGTTTTGGGTCTATTCACATTGAGAGGTTAGCCCCAATACCATCCCTATGTCATGGCCCTCAGACACGAAGAGAACAAACTACTCTCAGCAAGAGTGCAGGGACCACGTGCACTATGTCTGAGTCACCCTCGGGGGCCCTGCCCCACACTGGGGCTCTGCCTGGAGGGAGGGTGAGGGATTCTCCTTAGCCTGAGCCCCGCGCCTTCTGTGAGCAGGTCTGGCTCTGGGCTGCGGAAGGAGGGGCCGCGCCTGGCCTGTCGGCAGGTTCTCATCCGTGAGAAGTGCAGGAGAATCGCACCTTTTCAGTTTGCAGAAGGATGGGTGTTGCTAGTGAAAAGGTCAACTGTAATCACAGTCTGTTGGGCACTTTCCGTGGACCCCATCTGCTCTGTTCACTGCTCTCTGCTCTCTGCTCACCCAGAAAATTCATGGATATTTCAACCAGAAAGAGAAATTAAAAAAAAAAAAATTCTCTTTTAGACACACCTCCCTCCAGTTCTTTATGTGGGAAAATATCAGCCACATGGAGCAGACAGCTAACAGGCCCAAGAAAACAGCAGACAACCAAACCCAAACAAAATAAGTTAATATTTATCAAAATAGTTTACAGCACCAATCTACATAAATTTAAATACCTTTCTTTGGAAATCCACCTGGGGCCTGACCAAGGGCCCTGCCCCGGTGGGCTGACTGCCCAGCCGTCCTCCAGAGGCCAGCCTAGCCGTCTGGCTGTTTGACAAACTCAAACTTTTCTCCAAGAGTCTTCTGGGCAGGACAAAAGACAAGCGCTGTCAACTTACCAGCTTCTACCAGATTTGTGCCAAAGGCCAGGGGGGAAGAAATGGGAAAATAAGCTTTGAAAGCAGCATTTACATGTTCCGTATTGTGTGAAATGTCTGTCTCCCTCTACCTCTGTCAACAAGGGCCTCCTGTCTCCCGGACTACACTCTGACGAGGACGATGGGACTGGTGTTTGTTTTCTCCAGCTTCGGCCTGTGAGTGCCGCAGAGAGCAGCTCATTGTGGAGACGTATGGAGCAGGGGGTTGGGCCGGGTTACAAACCTCTAAACAAACCCAGGGCATTTGGACAGAGGGACAGCAATATACCCCAACTGTCGAGTGTGCGGGCCCCACACTCTGAACAATACACTGATGGCACAGGCTAATCATTTGGCCATTTTCCAAGTTAATGTTAAGCACCAGCTTGTTTGGTGGAGTGATTCACAGAAACTAACAGGAGGACTCACTTTGATTACACTTGAGAGAAGGGCCAACGAGATCGTGGCAGGGGCCACAAGTGTGGGGAGGAACGGTCACCATCACCTCAGAACAAGCGGACACCTCTCCTGGGAACCTTACAAGACCCCAAACACTGACACGCAAGCATCAGAGGACAGGGTTCAGTGAACGGCAGAGACCCACGGAAAAGGGTGTTTTGAGCGCTGCTAATTTGAGGCCGATCCTCCATAAACAGTGTCACGTTCCAGTTGCTCAGGACACAGCAGCAATGAGATGCCAGAGCAGCAAGAACAGGCTGGGCCCGGCGGGAATGTGGCTGAAGGAGGTCCCCCTTGCATACGCGTTCTGGAGTGCAGCTGGCCCCCAGCCCTGCCTCCTTCCCACTCTGTCTTCCTGCTCTGTCAAGGTGGCAGAGTGGAGAAGGGGTCACACTAAGACCCCTTCTGGAAACAACTCAGAGGGCAGGGGCAGGAAAAGAAAACCAGTCTTTGTTTTTTCTTTTGAAGCAAGCTGTCCTTTGGCTCAGGGGCGGGCCTGTGGAGGCATACTGTTTTGTGGTACTCATCTTGTACTGATGGCCGGCTGTTCCAGGCTGAGCGGGGAGATGGCTACTATGAGTCGGGAGTAGCCGCATTTTCAATACCAGAACGGTGCCTGGGGACATAGCCCTGGCTGCCCAGTAACGAGAAGGAGATCTCCATCCTGCCTGGGGCCACAGCAGCACGGCAGGAGGAGCTGCTTTCTTCGTTCAGAGGGAAGTTAGGAGATGCAGTGGCCAGCCACAGCCAAGTGGCCCTGGAAGGGAGCTGTCAAAAGTAACCGGCCTGGTGAGCCTGCCCTAGAGCAAGACGGGCAGGCCCTTCGAGATGTGGGCTGAGGCTGCAGTCCAGGCAGTGCACCTTCTGCTGCTCAGGAGCCTTGTGGTTGTGGGTGGGTCCTGTTGCATTGGTGGAGACAACAAGGTGCTTCTGGGTGCTCTGTGGGCATCCCTCAAGGCTGCTGTCACCTCCGGTGGATGAGGCTGTGCGTCATTTGCAGTGGTCCAAATTGCCATCAGCAGTCTTTGCTTGTTTAGCGACCAGGGATGCCTCCTCGCTGTGCCACAGCCCATAGCCAAAGTAGATGGCAAAGCCTGCAGGCCAAGAGCAGAGAGCAGTGAACAGAGCAGATGGGGTCCAAGGAAGCAGACAGCGCAGCCTGGGCCTAGCAAAGCCTCGCCACACTGCCTGCTCTGAGCTGAGCCTCCACTCTCTACACTTTACACTTAAAGAAACAACACGACTCCAAACAGGTCCAGCAAAGGTGACCCTCTGGAGAGCGTCATACCAGGGAAGCTCCTGAGCAGGGGGAACTGCTCGGTTGGGGGCCCCTGGAAGGGACATCAATCCCTCAGGTTCATCCACTGACCACCTAATTGGGGGCCTTGTGGCCACCGGAAGGGTCAAGACGGACAGCAGAAGCCATGCTCCTCCCTGCCAGAGTGGGTCTCCGTGCAGTCCGCACGGTCCCGGCTGCTCCTTTTCTCTGTGTAAGTGACGCCCACTGCAGGGGCCATTCGGGTCACCTGGGAATGAGTGTACCATACGAATCAGTCTGGTCCAGAGATCTGTGATTCTAACTACTGTCCAGAGACTGTGAGCCAGGTGGCCCTGGGGCCACCCTTTTGCTGAGTGGTCCTTAAAGGAAAGACTCAATTCAGCTACCAAAAGTACAGGAAGTAGGTGATGCCCAGAAGCCAGGCGCTTACATAGGGATTCTCAGAAGCAGTCCCTGCACCTCTGGCAGGAAGTAAGCACCTGGCTCTGCAGTCTCCAGGAATGGCCACAGTGGGCTGAGCGCAGACTGAGCCAGCTCTCACAGAATGACTCCACAGGAGATGCCTGTCCAGCTAAACACAGGCTAGACTCTGAGGGGAGTGAGGGGTCTGCAGAGAATGGGGTAGCAAAGTACCACCCTGGAGATGGCACAGCAGCAGCCGTCTACCCGAAGGTGTGGCCCCGGACTGAGAGGTTTAGCAGAACCTGGTCCTGAGATTTCTGCTCTTGTCAGGGACACGGAGGGACATAGGTCAAGGCCAGTCGCCCTTCATCAGCACTCAGACTGGACACTGAGGAAGAAACCTGACCCATCTCCTGCTATCCCCAGAGGCAGAGGCCCAGAGAGAGGCCAGGCCACGGTCAGTCCCAGACAGGACCAGCACCCACAAGGTGACACCCAAGCCCCTGCAGGCCCTGCCAGTGCCCACCGCCCACGAAAAGAGGTGAGGTCCCGACTTTCCCACGGGGTGGAAACGACTGGTGCTTTATTGACAGCAGGCTCATGCTCACAGCCTTGCTCTTGTTAACCTCAAGCTCTTGCCCAATAACATAACTACTTCAGGCAAGAGGCTATTAAAATGAAAAGTATCTGAAAAAGAGGGAAGGACCCACAACCTACCGGGAGCTCCTTGTTATCTGAGAGAAAACTCTTGACTACCTGTGTTTCTACTGCGTTTTGAAATCTGAACTGAGGAGGTTCAAAGACATTAGCCATCTGCCAAGTAAGTAGCAGGGACATGAGTGATCAGCAGGGGTGGGAGGTCTCAGGAGACACTGGAGTATGGGACATACCTATCAACATCCACACCGCAAACCGGACCCAGGTGCCTTGGTCCAGCTGCATCATGAGATAGACATTCACGAAGATGCTCAGGACGGGAAGGACTGGCAGGAAGGGCACCTGCAAAGACACAAGGTGGCAGCGTCAGCCCTGACAGCAGAGAGTTGGAGCTGGCACCTGTTTGCATCATTTAACAAAACGACCTAGAAAACATCCTGCACCTGACACTTATATGGACCTCTGAGATTTATATGGGCTACCATCTTTACATTGGGAAGAGGAAGTGAGTGCCAATCCTACCCTTGCACCCCCAACTCCTTCAACGTAAATACACCCCCATGCAGGCAGGCAAACCCTAACAGGTGGGAGCTTGGGTCTAAGCAACTAATTGCCGAAGAAAGCTCTATTCTTATTTTCCACTCCTGCTATGTTCCCATTAAAGCAGGGGCTAGAAGAAGGATTCCACTTTACCTCTAAGGTTGAACTATTCTATTATTTGTAAAATCTAAAAGTGTACCTCCAAGGCTTGGTGATGATACACAATCCACCTGGATGGCATTTGTGAGACGCCCCGGTGGGTGAGGTGGAGCTACACCATTGAGAGCTAGGGTCAGGTCCCCACCAGGCAGTCTGTGCCCATGGCCCATGTTCCCCTGAGGCTGGCCAGGAAGTACCTCCCGCCAAACACCCACACCTGGGAGAGCCCATGCGGGGTCTGTCCCATCGGGCAGCTCCCTGCAGAAGCACAGGCAGAGCTGCTCACCTTAAACGAGAGCTTGGTTTTGCTCTCAGGCTGCCTCCAGATGATGACCGTGACTACTGAGCAGAGGACGGCAGAGACAATGAGCATGAAGATGGCCCACAACTCCACGTTTGTCAGAGCCTTCTTTCCAAGCACGGTCACGATGCAGAAGATGATGATAAGAATTGCTGAAGACAGAGACAGAGAGAGAGAAAGAGAGATGCATCTCAACCATTTCTCAAGTTCCCATGATATCCTCAGCTCTCCCCCAAACCTATGGAGAGGGAGGCTCTATTTCTGTAGGCATCACCTGCAATGAGGACAGAATAACCGGTAGCACAGTCCATCCAGCAGCAGGACTTCTGACACCCACCCCCATACTCAGCGACAAGAAACCATGCAATGCCAACAAGCAGGACCCCAGACACATTCCAAGGAAGGGCAGGCTCTTACCTATGAGGCTGGTTGAAATGTTCACGATTAGCCCAGAGAATCTGGAGGGCTCCATGTTTGGGGGTGAAAGTAATGTTTTCAAAGAAAACTTTTCTGCTTCTGGTAAAAAGCCTGTCTGGGAATCGCTGGTGCTCACCAGTTCATTCTGGTCTACTTGATCCAGGTCATCGGTAGTTCTGGCCATCTGGTATACCATGTTAGGTTGCTCTGGCTGATACCTGCAGACAAATGTGACCAACATGTTTTCATTAAGCAAAAGAACAAGCAATGATTCAGGTTCTTAGTAAGCCTTCAAAGATAAGTTTCCCAGGACGCAAGGCATCAAACGGGAAGAAGATGGTCAGAATGATGTCTTCTCTGGCAAAGTGGAAACAGAGGAGACCTGGGTCTCGCCTTCTGGCAACAGCCTTCTTTGGTGTCTCTGTTTTGAGACAACTTGACCTCCACCATAAACCAGCCCAGAGAAATGTCTTGAGATGGTTTCTCTGGCCCTGAGAGTAGCACTAGCCCTTGGAAACTTAAGATACTAGGCCACTTCCAACAAAACCAGGCTGCAGGGAACTAAATGCACAGACAGAAATAGAAAGCAACATCAGGATCCTATTTGGTGCAGAGAGCTGGAGAAATGTGTCTGCAGGCTGATGGCTTTGAGATACTGTTTGTGAGACTTAATTGGATCAATTTATTTTAAAACTCCAATGCCTTGGCCTAAATAAATCTATAGCATTCAGTGGCATGATTTCCAAGATACAAGCTACTTGCGAATGGAGCAGTCATTTTAAATGAGGCCCCTTATCCTCCTACCCAAAATGAATGAAACTCAAATCTTTTCCACCAGTCTTGGAAAACAGAGTGCCTTATGAATTACTTTGCATACAGCCTAAGAGTAAGCATAAAGATATTCACCATATTTTCACTGATTCACTAAATGTAACACCATGAGGTCAATTAAGAAGGTGGTGGGACCTTGGAGAAGATTGCAGCATTGAGTCTTTGGGAAGCAATAAGTGGTAGTAAACTAGTTTAAGCTGATCCTATACAATCACCACCAACGCTCAACCCAGGTTTTACATACATTAGATGCTGACACATGAGAAACGGGGTAATGGCCTTGTGAGTATAAATGCCTGGAAAGAAACACGGAGGCTCCTGCCAGGCGACCAACACCAAGAGTCTCCATGAGTACATGTTCTCATGATGAATGCTACGTTGGGCCATTTCTGGGACTTGGGAAGCAGAGCCCTGTCCTTCCAGAACAAAGAAAAATTGGCACCAGGAGGTATGCTTTGCTGGGGTGCCCTGGAGTAGCCGAGACACCAAGCTTAAGCCCGGGCTGCTTTATTATCACCAGAACCTGGAAAGTCTTCCTGAACATCAACCTCAGCCATCCCACACCACAGAATGGAACTCCTTTCTCCAGCAGCGTGCAATGAAGCACCGCAGTAACCTGAGTTTTGAAGGTCATCACAGTGACCGAAGTTTCATTGGATTCTCCCAACTCTCATCAGGGCCAGTCCCCAGTCTACTCTGTCCCAAGAAGCTGGACCACATTGAAATCATCACCAAAACCTTCAAAAAAGCTGATCCCAAGATCCAGGCTCAGCAGCTTGGCTGAGAACCTGTCTCTATTCTCCCAACATCCAGCCAGAAAAATGAGGGCACATGATAGAAGGAGGTGGGGCCACCCCTGAATCTTTTCATGGATATTCTCTATAAGTAGGCTCTCAACCACCATATCCCCACCCTCTCCTGGGAAGTTCCCAAAGGAGTTATCAACAACCTAAAATTTGCACTGTATAAACCACTAATTTGAACTGCTAAGAGGCTAGGAGGGTTCATGTGCATTTCTGTCATGGGACCCAGAAAAGCCATACATACCGTAAGACCAACACACAGGCAGCCACCAAAGAGTAAGCCAGGAGAGTGCCGATGGACATGAGATCCACCAAGTCCTTCAGATCAAAGAGGAAGGCCATCACAGCTGGGGAGGAGACAAACATCAGGATCCATGGATGGCCTTCTACACATACTGACATCCAGAACCACCACCCACCTGTAATCCAGAGCACACAGAGGTGCTTCTTTTTCTTGCCTCCCAACCCCAGGCCCTTCCATGGAAAGATGCTTACAGGAAGAAAAGCTCAGGATTAAATCATGTATACAGTCCTCAACAGATGGTAACTTTGCAAGCTACCCCTACACTACAGATGGAGAAACTGAAATTCAGACAAGTTTGGGAGAGTTACCTAAGGTCACATAGCTAGATGGAAAAGTCAGAATTTAAACTAGGTTCTTGTGATTCCAAGTCCAGTGTTTCTTCTTCTATATTACGCTGACTCATAGACAAATCATGTACATCTATCCACCTACCCATTCATCATCCATCCACCCACCCATCTATCATCCATCCATCCATCAGCCATCCAATCTATCCATCAGCCATGCATCTATTCATCCATCATCCACCCAGCACTCGTTGAACATGCTATACACCACTGAAGAGGTAAGAACAGTCTCTGGTAGATCATCCAAGACATATGCATCTGTCAGCAACAATGATGAGGAGGTGGATGAGGCTCCTGACCCAGACAGTTGAGCATGGAAAGCAGTGTTATTCCCAAACAATTTCAAGCGCTTCACCATGACCACACTTAAAAAAAACAACACATGCATGCTTATTTGAAAATTCTTTGTACTTTTTGTGAGAATGTGTATGTGTATTTACATGCGTATAGAGGTTGTTTCCCATTTAAACAATAACTTGGCTAGGTCTACTTTGGGGTATTTTCAAATCATTCACAATCGAGACAAGTTAAAGCATAACACAAAACCATTGCTTTTCCACAAACACTTCTCAAGCTCCTATAAATCACTGGAGCTAAAACAAATTTAAATTGTGAACAAATAATAAGATTTAGGAGCAAAGAGGACTTCCAGATAAATAGAACGGTGACCTACTATGCACACCACAGGCACCTGCATTCCTACTCACTCAGAGAAACCGAGACAAGCTTCTTCAATGTGAAGTGATTTTAGAAAACCTAATACTTATTTAGACTCCCACCAAAAGAAGTTTAGTGAATGTACTTTGTAGTCACTTTAATGATGATAGTTTCATCTCCCTTAATCAGCACAGGAAGGAAATTAAGGCCAGTCTTTAATCTAATCAAATTACATGTAAATACTGAAAAAATGTTCATGGTTTCCAATGCCTTAATCCCTTAAATATAGTGGTTGTATTCTGACATGTGTCCCTTAACCTGACCACCGTGATCACTCTGAAAAATGTATTACAGCCCTAGCCAATGTGTCTCAATGGTTGGAGCATCACACTGAAGGGTCAAGGGCACGTACCTGGGTTGCATGTTTAATCCCCATCCCCAGTCGGGGCAAGTGCGGGAGACAACAATCAATGTGTCTCTCTCACATCGATGTGTGTCTCTTTCTCTCTCTCTCTCCCTTCTCCCCCCAACCTCCTCCCCTCCCTTCTACTCTCTCTTAAAATCAATGGAAAAAATATCCTTGGGTGAGGATTAACAAAAAACAAATAAAAAAGAAATGTAGAATTACAGGACAAATTTAGTAAATAATAAAAAGCTAGCTTTCTTCCATTATGTAATGTTAATCCACAAAATGAAGCACACTTTGCTAAAGGCATAAATCCTACTAATAACAACTCGTTCATTTAAGATGATAAGATGCCCTACCAATGGCCATTTGACAAGTCCCTATGGCACAAATTGGCTGGTGTCACGTGTCTTAATTTACCAAAAGACCCGATGCTCTTCTCGCACCCTGGAAAGAGCCAGCCTCTTTGGCATAAAAACAAACCAGGAACCAAGAGCCAGATCTACACTATGGATCTGCATTCTGCCTTCACCTTTCTGTGCCTCCACTTCCACCTCTGTACAATGGGATCACACTGCCTTTCCTGCTACAAAATGCAGTCCAGTCATTAAAGGAGGAAATGGATACAACAAACAGCATGCAGTGCAAATAAATTTCAGCCCTGCCCTCCCTCACCCTCCTCAATTGGTTGCCTCCTGCATGGGCCCCAAAAGTGCCGGGGATTGAACCTGCAACCCAGATAATGTGCCCTGACCAAGAATTGAACCCGCAACCCCCTGGTGCATGGGACATAGCTCCAACCAACTGAGCCACACCGGCCAGGGCAAAGTGGTACATTTTATAGAACACCAATCATAAGGGATCCTCGTTTCCCAGGGAATTCACAGGCTAAGATACAAGGACACTAAATTTCTAGTAATAACACAAACTCTCACTTGGCTTGTAAATGCAAGATGTCATCTTACCAAAATCTACTCAGGGACACTCAGAAAAGGAGAAGACTAATGGCTTTGAGGAACCATGTGTATCCTAAGCTCGGGCCAATGAGAGGATAATAATAACAGAAGAATTCAAACTTATTGGGAATTCCATCACATCCTCTGGAGCACTGGCCTCTGCCTTGTGTTGGAAGGGCAGTTACCTTGCAATAAACCAGGTCTAAGGCTAGAAAACAAAAGTTAAAATTTCTCACAGACCACAGTACAATTCAGGATGTTTCCCTAGGGAACAATAATGACTTAACTGTTGAAATATTAGTGTGTGAAATTAGTTCCAGGTCTTACCAGCGATGGCACCTGAGGTTAACGTGGCGATGACTGGTGTTTTGGTCCTATTGTTGATTTTGGCCAAAAATTTAAATAGCAGTCCATCTTCAGCCATGGCATAGATAACTCGAGGCATGGGAAACATGGAACCCAAAAGGCTAGATGGAAGAAAAGGCATCAGTTAGAGGAGCTTCCCAGGAACCAAGGCACCAGGATCTGACCAGGCCCAGTTGACCTGAGGAGTAGGAGCCCCGGACTCTCACCAGGACTGCCGCCACCAAGCTATATAACCTCAGAATTCCATACACCAACCCTACAAAAAGCACTACTCTGAGTATGTATAAATCTAAGAATAGGAAAAGCTTAACAAACCAGCACAAACTAGTCGTTTTTCTGGAAGTGAAATTTTACATTTATTCCTAGTTATTTCCAGCTGACTCAAACAGAAAATAAAAGCATCCCAGCGTTCATGAGGACGTCTCTATGGTAAATCGACATTTACAAATAGTAAATGTTCATGTGGGCTAACAGGACATACCAGGTCAACATGCCTCTCATGAAAAGGCACTCTCCCTTTTTCAAGGTTACCTCCATGTTATGGCCAAACTGAGGCCAAAATGCAGTGTTCAAAGAGCTGGCCTGATCCAGTGGCCAAAGTCGGGGACACAAAGACAGTCCCTTGCTGAGCAGATGATGTAAAAAAGTGGGCCTCGGGTTCTTCAAGGAGATCAGTAACACGAATGACTCTTGGGTGATTAATAGCAACAAGGAAAAGCCAGAGAATCAGGCTTGAGGCACTGGCTCCATTTCCAGGGAAAAAAGTAACTTTAATAGCAGACCTGCGTGTCCAGCTTTACCTGGCCCACCACACCTGACATCAACCCAAGAATCTGAGAATCCTCACCTAGTAGACAAAGCACAGAGGGAGCCAATGGCCACCGCATACTTGGCGCTATCCCAGCCCACGTGCTTGAAGGCCTCAGGCAGGGGGCTATCCTTGTCCAGGCAGAAGTATGGCATCATGAGTGTGAGGGCAGCCGACACCCCAAAATAGGCGATGAAGCAGATCAGGAGGGAGGCGACGATGCCCACGGGGATGGCCTTCTGGGGGTTCTTGACTTCTTCACCTAGAAGCAGCCAGGAGGGACAACCACAAACCATGAGGCCCCAGGCCTGTCAGTGTCCAGGGAGTCTGTTCCACCACAAATGCCTCCCTGGGCTCTGGAAACACAGGGTGGCCCTCTGCAACACAGACCAGATGACCCCTAGGCCCTAGATGGTGTTCTCGGCCTTTACATCATGGTTCCACCAAGGAAAAGACCTGTTTCCTTTGGCAGGGAGATTTGGGAGGTCCAATGGAGCCTAGACTATTCAATTCGCCAGGATGACAATATTTTTAATGGCTTCGCTTCTCCCGGATGATGCACAGATATGAAGTCAGGCTGTAGCCCTGTCTGTCATTATCCCATTCTAGTAGAAGGGTTAGTCACGTTCAGGATGCAGTTTCCTGCCAGGAACTGTGACCTGGGACTTGGGGAAGTGATAAGGGTAGGAAAGATCAGCAGGAAGCTGCAATCTACACATTACTCAGGTGTGGAAGCTTGGTGACTGGCACAAGCCCACAGGAAGGAAAATAGTGACCCGTGGGTACAATGAGGCTGGCCTGTCTGGAAAGCTAGAGGGCGGGGCATGGGCTCCCGACAGCGCTCGGGCATACCTGTGGTGGCGATGCAGTCAAAGCCCACGAAGGCATAGAAGCAGGTGGCTGCTCCTGACAGGACACCGGAGAACCCGAAGGGCATGAACCCACCGATACCGGGATTCCCTTCTTTCGTCTCACTAGGAAAAGAACGAGTCACAGCAAAGATCACAACACTAGCTTCATGGTCCCAAAGACAAGCCATTGTAAACAGCCACCCCCTGACTTATGACCACTGCTCCAGACCCTCAGGCCATGACCCCTGGCAGCTGTCGCCAGCCACTGCGTCCGACTCTGTGGACAACAGGCCTCCGCTGGGTGTGGCCCAGACCACAATGGTGCACACTATGCCCTTTCCAGAAGCCTCTTCTAAATATAGACGTGGGGTGGGGATGGAATATAGGGACTGTGACAGGGTATCCTCAGGAAAGAGGAGAGACCAACAAATGCAGCCTCTCCCCCAGAATCCTGGAGAAAGAAATGGAGCCGGGCAGTGCAGGGGCCCCAGATGTAGGAACGAACTGCAAAAGTCTCCATATTTGCCAGGAACTCAGGTCTCAAAACAAGCATTTCCAAAGACACTGAGGTTTGAAAACTGCTCAGTTTCAGTCAACAAAACAATGTTTCCCAAGCACCCACGCACACACAGTAAGCAGCTGGGATGCTTCAGGTGGAGGCTGGTGCCTAGCACAGCTGGGCTCATGGGCGGGGATCAGTTGTTTGCTGAAGTAATGAATTCAAAGTCAAGCACATTTTGTGAACCCCAAAGTCCTTAAAGATCCAGAAAACAGTTCCAAAGGATCAAAACCTGTGACTCTAAAGTAAACACTACGTCTAAGCTTGAACAGTGGGTGCTCAGCCCTTGCCGGGACTCGCCTGGGCGGCACTCTCCGACATCAGTCTACCACAGGCCCTGCCTCTCACCAACTACTCGTAAGCCTCAGCCCCCTGAAGAGCAGCCCCGCTCCTTCTGTCTGAGAAGTGCAGCTCCAGCCCTCCCCTGTGGCCACATTTTCCACTTGGCTGCAGGCTTCTTGTCACTTACCACAGAGCCCCCAGGGCGAGGACGGTCACACCTCCCCACCGCCCCTCCTCCCAGACCACTTCGCCTCCCAACATGAGAACAGGAATGAAAGAATATTCCAACTCTATAAGCACTGATGCACTGAGGTTGAGTTAGCAACTCATTTCGGCAAAGTTGCTTTCAGTTTGATTTATCAATGATCTAATGAAATAAACAAATAATTTGGACCCAATTACTTTCCAATGAGGATTAACCTTTTACTGATTCCTCTGGGATAATTACATTTCTCAGTTCCAGAAGCTGCCATGGAGCCACTGGATGTGAAGCATGAAGACCCTAATTGTGGGACTTACAGCGGTTCAGTAGCAACCTGGGGGAAACCCCAAGAAATGCACAAGTGATAGATGTGGGGAAAATTGTTACCAGACTGAAATGGAAGCTTGTCATTTACTGAAATAAACCACCAACCCCGGCACAAAAAAAGGCAGCCCAGAACAGGTAAGTCAGCAAAGTGTGGTCCACAGTCCACACCGCAGCCGCTCCCATGGGCTCTGAGAATCACAAAGAACGTGGACACCCTGGTGAGCGGACTTCTACAATCACAGCACGGTGTGGTGGGAACTGCCTCCTAACCCACACATGATGAAGCCCTTCCATGCGATAGGGTTTTGTGGTGGGAACTGCCTCCTAACCCACGCATGATGAAGCCCCTCCATGCGCTATGGTTTTTTGGTGGGAACTGCCTCCTAACCCACGCATGATGAAGCCCCTCCATGCGCTATGGTTTTTTGGTGGGAACTGCCTCCTAACCCACGCATGATGAAGCCCCTCCATGCGCTATGGTTTTTTGGTGGGAACTGCCTCCTAACCCACGCATGATGAAGCCCCTCCATGCGCTATGGTTTTTTGGTGGGAACTGCCTCCTAACCCACGCATGATGAAGCCCCTCCATGCGCTATGGTTTTTTGGTGGGAACTGCCTCCTAACCCACGCATGATGAAGCCCCTCCATGCGCTATGGTTTTTTGGTGGGAACTGCCTCCTAACCCACGCATGATGAAGCCCCTCCATGCGCTATGGTTTTTTGGTGGGAACTGCCTCCTAACCCACGCATGATGAAGCCCCTCCATGCGCTATGGTTTTTTGGTGGGAACTGCCTCCTAACCCACGCATGATGAAGCCCCTCCATGCGCTATGGTTTTTTGGTGGGAACTGCCTCCTAACCCACGCATGATGAAGCCCCTCCATGCGCTATGGTTTTTTGGTGGGAACTGCCTCCTAACCCACACATGATGAAGCCCCTCCATCCGATATGGTTTTTTTGGGTAATGCCTTAGAACTTCAGAGAGACAAACTATTTCATGAAAGACTGTGTGGCCATTGTCAGAAAAACAAATCTAGAGCTGGTTAAAAAAAGAAAAAAGAAGAATCTTACAGATTTTAATAAAATAAACAAGCAAGTCATGTCCCTGTCCCACTGCACTCCACCTCTTAAAGTGGCTGACTCGCTGCCCTCCATGGCGTGTCCCAGGGCTGGAGGCAGATGTAGCTGAAGGGGTCTCACACAGGCCCAAGGGCTGGGCTACAAACGCCACTTTGGGAGGCCAGCAGAGTTCATTGTTGCTAGGACATTCAGGGTAAGGGTGACTGATGAAAGTACGCACCATCAGCTGGCATGGACAACCTCTTCATAAAAACCATCAAATTAAATCTTGACTGACAACTAGGAAACATTTAATTCCTGACCTGTAAACAGCAACCAGTAAGGCAGCACCCAGGGTTTTCAAAGTTGACTGTTTCTTCAAAGATTTTTGATTTGGCTTTACTCCACCATAAGTGAATGGGCACCAAGAAATTTGGCATAAATGTGACTCAGGAATGTTTGGGTATATGTATTAAAAGTCCTCATTTCTCTGTAATAGGATTTAGTCCCCAAAGACTAAAAGGCTCTTTTTATTTGAAGTATTAACCATATAATATTAGAGTTAGTGAAGTTTCGTGCACTTAATTCAATAGGTTTCTATTGGTATCTGGCCATGAACTAGACACACATCAATGCCTGCCCATTAATCAGGCAACTGGGCACCTGGCCCTTAACAACCAGCAACCAAGTTGGCATGTGACCACTCAGACCCCCAGTGCCTCAGCCTCCCTTGCAGCTACATGTGGCTGGCTACTGGATTCTGCAGGGGAATGGGGGCAGAAGGGGCGTGTGTCTCCGGGATCTGTCCTTAAAAGCACTGGGAACACTCTGCTCCACACTTGCTCCCTTTCTGGGACAGCTGGATGATGCCAGCACCCACAGCCCAGCTCCAACCAGGTAGGTAAGGACAGCATCCTCAGAGATGACAGAACAACCAGGTGTGCCACGACCTGGGTCCCTGAAAGCCTATATACAGCCTCTCTGGCCGGCCAACTGAACTGCTCATTCCGGGACGTGAGACATCATTTTAAAGCTACCACAGTTTAGAAGAATCTCTATCTGAGCAGTTTAACCTTTAGCAGTAATTAAAATAGACTCATGGGCAAAATCACACTCCCTGTTCTCCATCCCAGGACCCTAAGTTTCACCTGAAAATCTAACAAAAAAGATACATTATGGCCCTGACCGGTTTGGCTCAGTGGATAGAGCCTCGGCCTGCGGGCTGAAGGGTCCCAGGTTCGATTCCGGTCAAGGGCATGTACCTTGGTTGCAGGCACATCCCCAGTAGGGGATGATCGATGCTTCTCTCTCATCGATGTTTCTAACTCTCTAGCCCTCTCCCTTCCTCTCTGTAAAAAATCAGTAAAATAAAAAATAAAAAAAAAAGATACATTATAATTATTTGGCTTTTGTGAGCCCGCCTATCACCTGCCTCTAACCCTGAGTGCCCTGAGCCAGAGACAGGTCAGGGGGATGGGGCCACAGCTTTTCAGGGCTGATACAACCCAAGTCAAGTGTGGGAGAAAGAGATTATTAGAATCACAGTTTGATACTTTAGCAATTCTGAAAAACTTTGATAAAAGTTCCACATATTTCTTTTTCTGGGTTATTAAACATTTTGAAATAAAGTGGTATCACCATCGTATTGCAGAGAAAATCTTTTCTGATCACAAAACTCAGAAGAAGGTCATGAAACAGAATAAGAGAAGAAAGGGATTACTTAGTGAGTCTGACAGTGATCCTCAACTGTGTACATGATGGAATTAGAATGAAAACTCTGGTTTCACCATAAGCGTCCTTGTCATACCATGTTCTGTCTAGTTGAGGGGAATAAAATTTATTTTAAACCAATAAAACACCCTCAGCTATGTCACTACAAAAAAAATTAATAAAATGTTCAAATTCAAATCACATTACTGCAAAAAAGACTCGTATGGTTCTAGTCAGTTCCATCCCCCATATACACCAACTGCCACACGCCGAGGGACGGGCAGAGGGAGCAACTCACTTGTTGGAGCACAGGAGACCAGAGTTGTTGTGCAAATACTCCTCCGTGAACTGCCAGTTTTTAAGCGATCCTTTCACAAAGCCTGACACCACGATGAAGCCCAGGACCAGAACGTTGACACAAGTGAATATTTTGTTGACCATAGCTGACTCTTTCACACCAACAGTTAAAAGTCCTGAAAATGTGCATACACAGGAAACATGGAGCATTAACCTCATACCAGGCAAATCCTTCCTGGGATGGGGACGGGAATGAGGGCGATGACTTAAGAAGAACTCACATGGCATCAAACTCTAAAGACTTCTGTGAGCCTCTGGGGATGGGGCTGAGTTCGTGATCTTTCTAGAGGCAGTGATCACGACGTTTAACAATGCTATGTGGACGCCATCCAGGGGGCACCAGGCTGCAGAGATGGGGCATCAAGCCCCCCAGGAGATGAAATGAGCGCCTCTCCCTGCACCTTCCCCCTCATTAAAGTATTTTATGAGAACCACCCTCAGGAGCAGGATTTTAGTTTCTCCAAGGAGACACTTGGCTCAGTTTCTTAGTAGAATGAGTTTTTCAGATCGGAAATTATTCAGATCGCCGTGTGGGTGTTAGCAACATCAGCAATGACAGTGTCTGTGGTTGTGGAACTGCCACCCCGTAAGCACTAGGCCAGACTAGTTCTAGCTCGTAACTCACATTAAAAAACACACCAGGTGATAAAAATGCCCAGAAACCACATGACAACGCAGGACCACCTCGGGATAAAGATGCCACCTGGTGAGTTCTGTGCAAACTGTCAGCAAGAAAAGAGGCATGAAAAAGTACCCAGTGAGCACACAACACAATTTATGATTTGAGATCGCCTCTCCGCATTGTGTCTTTTATATAACCTATATATTAAAAGACCAGTCGCTATGATGCGCACTGACCACCAGGGGGCAGACACTCAATGCAGGAGCTGCCCCTGGTGGTCAGTATGCTCCCACAGAGGGAGCGCAGCTCAGCCAGAAGCCGGGCTCACAGCTGGAAAGCATAGCAGCGGTGGCAGGAGCCTCTCCAGCCTCCACGGCAGCACTAAGGATGTCCGACTGACGACTAAGCCCTCAGTTGGACATCCCCCAAGGGCTCCAGGACTGCGAGAGGGTGCAGGCCGGGCTGAGGGACCCCCTCCCACACCCCTAGTGCACGAATTTCTTGTACTGGGCCTCTAATTCTACAATAAAAGAGGCTCACATAATAGGCTGAATTCTGAAATGCAGACAATAGAAGAGAATAGAATGATTCATCACAGGGAAGACACCACACTCTGCTGTATCTTTCCTTTTGTGTCCCTCCCTCTCGTGTTTATGAAAATCTGAGTAGTGAAAACTTAATTTCTGATACATGTACCTACCACTGGACCAGAAATACTGCTGAGTCTGGCCTATGCAAAATTATTTCAATTACATAGTGGGCAAAATTAGATGGGTTGTTTTTAAAACCCATGCAAGGTTTTCTAACCACAAAAGAGAATTTATCTGCATTTCATCAACTTAATGTTTATGTCAGCAAAACCCCCACCTAGTGGCTGAAACACGGATACATGTAAGAAGAGGCTGCTATCAGCTGTGGGCAAGCACTATCAGGCATTTTTAAATTCTGTATCCATAACTTTGTCATAAAACTTATTTGCTTAAAGGGTGTTTTGACCACCAGTAGGTGTAAAACCAACTGAGACGTCTCTGACGCCCCAGACGCTTGTTAGTGTTCCAGACAGACCTCGTCCCTGCACCTCAACCTGGCTGATGAACACCAACTTTCCTTCCCAAATGGTCATCACGGGGTCAACAGTGTATTCCTGAGTCACTTGCACAAAAAGCCTGAAGTACTAAAAAAATGTTACTCAACAGTCACATAAACACCTGAGGTTCTCTGTTAGCTAAATGACACACAACTCAGCAGCTATTAAATAGGCCAGCCCTACTGTGAATGTATCATAAGTCATTAAGACAAAAAAAGATGTCTGTATTAATTACAGAAAGAAAATGGGGGTGGAGGGGAGAAAGAGAAAAAGAAGAAAACCTGGTCTTTCTAGAGACCTCCAGTAGGAACCTGCCTTCTTGGACCCCTGCCTCGATCTGATGGCCCTCTCGCGGTGTGGGCGCACCTGTTAAGATGAGAATTATGATCACAGCAAAGATGTCTGGGTTTGTGGCCAGCACTCCAGGGGCGTTCAGAGACATGTATGTCCGAGAGAACTCCCCAATGGGTTTGCCAATCAGCTCATCAAACGTTGCACTCCAGGCTCTTGCCACACTTGAAGTACCTGTCACAAAACAACACATATCAGAGGAACGTGAAAGAAAGCAATTAACTAAGTATTTGTCATTGAGCTGGACGTTTCCAGCATCCGTGCGGGGTCTCAGATGGTGCATGGGACTCTGCAGCAGGCAGACCTCAGCATGCACACTCAGAAGAGGGTCAACCAGTGTTCACAGTGAAATGAAAAGTTCAAGGAAGCTTCTAGGGCCTGGGGGAAAAATGTATTTTCTGCCGCTGCCTAACACACGTGTATACATGTGTTTCAAATATATAACTACATGATTAATAAAAGTTTTATAGAACATGTTACCCTCAACATACATATAACCAAATTATTAGTAAAGAATTTACAAAACAATGTTACCCCTTGCTACCTGAGAGGCACTCAGAGAGTGTTTATTCAATTCTACCTATTTTATTTCATAAAAAAAGAAACACTGATGGCAAGCCATGGAACTGATGGCTCAAGGTACTCCCAGGGCGCAGTGAGCAGTGTGCGCCTTCTCGGAAGCTCCTTTTCCAAGATGCTCCTGGTGAACACTGCTCTCCCATCAAGAGGAGACCAGGGCATCACACGCAGCTGACTCTCACCTCTGCCACTCTGTGCCTGACCCTGGGCTCACAGCCACAGGTCCCCAAGCACCTGCTGGCAGACAGTTCTCTCCCTGCACCCAGCCATGAGGAACGCAAATGGAGGCAGCACCCCCAATGCCAACAACAGCTGACTGTGCGCTCTCCTTCTCCCTCTCTCTCAATCTGAATAAAGTCCCTGCTTTCCTAGTGCTGTTCCTCAGGAAATATTGCTAAAATTCCAATAGTCATACATAGCATTTTCCTTTACTTTCTCAAAGGGGGTTTTGCTGGTGATTGCGGTCTGGATCACCCTCAGGAGTTTGCTTGCCAGGGTGACCTGCAGACTCAATTTTGCTATTTGGTTTCATGATAAGTATTTTCCCAACAACTCAAAAATTAAACCACATTTCTTTGTGCCGAGCAGCTCGCCTATTATGAAATCTGTCCATCAAGGCCACAACCCAGTGAAGACACATGGTCTCCCATCTCCCCCAGAGGCCGGCTCACTGCTGATGGGGCTCCCGAACCCCACCCTGCTGGCTGAGAGGGGCTGCCTGGCCTCCCCCACCCCCAGCTCTGAGTCAGGGCTTTAAAACCCCATGTTGGCTGGAAAAACTGCCCTCCCCAGCAGCTAAGGGTGAGAAGTTCCTGCAGTGGCACATGACAGATGCATGACCCCACATAGGCCAATGGCGCTCTGGCAAAGCATCATCATCTGTACTCTAGGACTATCAGGCCTCACGCTCTCCTGTGTCGTGCCCTGGTAAATCTTCTGGAAACACAACAGCCCATCTAAAATTGTTGCATTCCCACCGAGAGACCTCAGCTTGTGTGAGCGTTTGCACTTACAAGTTTCATTGTTATGAAATTTATTTTGGAAGTTGGAGGAGTAAGCCAGGTTGGTTCTGAGCAGACAGCGCAGGGCTGAAAGGGAAGGTAGTCTGGGTGTGTGGCTGTGGCGCCCACACAGAGGCCACACACAGTACCGTGCATGATATTCCCAGTACTCAGAGGCTCAACTTACCACATCTTACTGTCTTTTGATAATATTACAAAAAAGCCTGATAAAATATAAGTGGAATGTTTAATGGCTATTTGTATTTCTACTTCTGTGAACTGGCCATGCAAATCCTTTGGTTATTCTTTTATTTCAGGTGTTTGTTTCAATACAATGGTATACAACCATGAGGAATGTTACTATGGAAAAACAGTTAACACTGTGAGGCATGTTTACTACCTATTGTTCTATGCAGAAAGAGAGATACTGTGCCAAAAATATGCATTTAAATTCACAAAAATAAGAACAATGGTCAAATCCCTAGACAGTAAATTCTCATGAACAGAGACTGTCTTTTTTCTTCATTGCATCCCTAATATCTAGCAAAATGCCGTGCACAGAGCAAGTGCTCAATAAATATTTGTTGAGAGAATGAATGAATGAGAGAATTACTACCTCCCAGTTCTCAGATTGGGTAATTTCTACTTTCTTCTTCATGCTTTTCTATACCCCCCCATCTTCCTATGTCCATGATGACTTTACTCTAGTAGTCAAAAAAAATTTCACTAAAAGAGACTAAATCCTTTTTAACTAATTAGAAACATCCCATGGTTCTATGCCTTCCATGTTAACAGGAACGACCTCCTTGCTGGCCGGGCTTGTCCCCTCTATACCCCAGCACACCTGACCATGAACACCAAGAGCAGCTGGAGGGCCAGTGGTGCCTCTGCCTTCCCTAAAAGGAAGAAGGAAAAAGGAGGATGGATAATGGTCAGGCAAGGAGGTTCTCCTCGGAAGAAACTAGACTTGGTCTATTTGGAGCAAAGTAGGGAAGTGGGAATGACAAAAGTGAACGACTCACCGATGATGTAGGAGAGGATGAGGTTCCACCCTGTGATGAAGGCCCAGAGCTCCCCAACGGTGACATAGCTGTAGAGATATGCCGAGCCGGTCTTGGGGACACGAGCACCAAACTCGCCGTAACAAAGGCCAGCCAGCACGGAGGCCAGCGCCGCGATCAGGAAGGAGATGACAATGGCAGGGCCAGAGTTCTCACGGGCCACAGCGCCGGCCAGGACGTACACGCCGGCCCCCAGCGTGCTGCCCACCCCCAGCGCCACCAGGTCAAAGGTGTTCAGGCAGCGGGACAGCCGGCTGTCCTCGCGGCTGCAGTCCACCACCTTCCGCCTCAGCATCTGCTGACCAAGGCTGAATAGCACCTTGCATCCCATTCTGCTGATCAAATCTGCAAAGAGAAAGCACAGGGTGTTTCATCACTGCCACTCCTTTCACCCCCTCTAATCGCAACACGGACAGCAACCAGGTCCCTTATTATGATTTATGGCTAAAATGTCTTCAGTCTCAGAATTCCCCAATCAGAACACTACCTAGGCCCTCCTGCCTGAGCCTGACCTGAGCGCACACCCGGGGCCAGCCAGCAGCTGACTGTACCATTTGCTCTCTGAGCACCCACAGTTCTTTCAGTTCATAGGAGAAACCGTGTGCGGGCAGAAGCTACGGAGTACGGGAAACTCACATGACAGAACTGAACCAAAAGTGTGGGGTCAGGAGGGGAGACTAAAACTACAAAAAAATGGTCCAGTTTAGAGTTGAGGCAGGGGCCTGCTCACACCCCATGTCCTCCCTGGGCAGCAGGAGTCCATCTGCCTCAGGAGAAATGTGATGTGCGAGCCTGGACTCTTTAAAAGCCCCCGGGTCTCCATTTGTCTGAACCCAAGCAGCGAGGGGCACATTCACTCACCTCACACCTGTGCTTGACACAGCCAGTGTTTAAGGAAATGAAACCCACAGTCCTATGCCCGGAAGCAGTGTCAGGGCCGGGGGGGCTGAAGGGTGATGGGGCTCCATGGAAGGAGTGTGGGACCAGGAGAAGGTTTAACTGTCTGTCACAGAGGCTGCTACTTTCATGGGGAAAATCAGTCCATTTCATGAAGTGAGGACAGAGGCATAAAGTCTGAAAATCCACCTGGGGACATCTCTGCATCTAGTCAGAAGCCTCAGTTATAAAGACACATAATGTTTTTCTAAAATGCTGTGCCCCCCCGCCCTGACACTGCTTCCAGGGATAGGACCGTGGGTTTCATTTCCTAAACACTGGCTGTGTCAAGCACAGGTGTGAGCTGAGTGAATGTGCCCCTCGCTGCTTGGGTTCAGACAGATGTAGACCCCGGGGGGCTTTTAAAGAGTCCAGGCTCCCACATCACATTTCTCCTGAGGCAGATGGACTCCCGTTGCCCAGGGAGGACATGGGGTGTGAGCAGGTCCCTGCTTCACCTGGTAACTCTGCACCTTTGCTTCTGACATTCACAAGGTGCAACAGCCTCAAAAATAAGGTGCTTACTTATAGCGGAAAACCCCCAGGAACTAGGAGCTGTGGGATCCCCTCCTCCTTCCTTCTACTGCAGGCAGCTGCTCGGAGATGCTGATGTGTGGCAAAGGGCATTGGCTAGATCCCCCACAAAGTTCCTCTGATGAAAGACGGTGTGGGCTGCTGATCCCTGATTACGTGAGCATTCTTAATATAGCAAAACACTCGGGAGGAAGGCTAAGAATGGCTCCCAAGGAATGTAAGAATGTGAGAGCAGGGTAAGTCAGGTGACATTCTTTATACATACACACACACCTGAAAAACAACCTCCATTTTTTTTGTGGTAAATAAAACAGTGATAATGATGAAGTCCCTGTGGTAAATAGTTTTTCTTAATCAAAGAATAACTGAAAAGAAAAAAAACTTTCAAGTAATTTTTAAATTGTTTTTTTTCAACCTCACTTGGGGATATTTTTTCATTGATTTTTAGGGAAAGTAGAACAAAAAGGGAAAGACAGAGAGAAACAACGATGTGAGAGAAACACATCTGCACCAGCCCGACCAGGGCCCAGGCCAGGGAGGAGCCTGCAATTGAAATGCGTGCCCTTGACCGGAATTGAACCCGTGACCCTTTGGTCTGTAGGCCGATGCTCTATCCACTGAGCAAAACCAGCTAGGGCTTTCAAATATTTTAATAGAAAAACTTCTCCCCCTCACTACATCCTATGCCAAAACCAAATGCAAGAGTCAGATAAAACAGGAGCTACTCTAATTTAAAGAGAAATGGTACGCCAAGACCCACTAGCTAGCCTTGACCTCCCCAAACCCCACCACCCCCTCCTGGCTCCAATGTCCCCTCAGGACTCTAGGAACCCAAGAATCTGCATAAAACACACTATCTATAGCAGATCTTGATGGCACCTAAATCCCAGAACAAGCTGCAAAAGAATTCTTAAGTAAAAGAGTGAAAAATAGAAGAGGGAGAGAAATAGGAGCAAGAGTAAGAGTTTAGGAGTAGGAAAGAAACTGGAGCCTGCCACTACCTTGAGAAATGCAAAGTCCTCCAGAGTCAAAGGCAGAAACACAGCCCACTGTGTCACTGGCACACTGTGCACACCATCAGGGAGCAGCCAGCAGCCACGGAGCATAGCACTCGCCGTCCACACCAGGAGCACACCCTGTGGACGAGGCCTTTGTGCAGAAGGCCTTACCATCTGTAGGTATTAAGAATTCTGTTGGCCCTGGCCAGTGTTGCTCAGTGGTTGAGCATCAATCCATGAACCAGGAAGTCACAGTTCAATTCCCGGTCAGGGCACAAGCCCAGGTTTTGGGCTCCATCCTGGGTAGGGAGCATGCAGGAGGCAGCTGATCGATGCTTCTCTCTCATCATTGATGTTGCTCTCTCTTCCTTCCCCTTCCTCTCTAAAGAAAAATATCAATTTTTAAAAATCTCTTTAAAAAAAGAGTTCTGTTTGAAAGAAATGTAGGAATTTAAGAAACCCACCACTGTGAAAAGGCAAACCTGTTTTCTGATGAGATGGAAGTACTAGGTGATCCTGAAAAAGCACAGAAGCTATAAATTTTAAAAGAACAACAACAGAGGGTTTTAGTTGTCAGTTCACTTAAAAAGTCAACAACCTACCAAAGGTCTAAGTTGATATATTCTAGCACATAAGTGACGACCATCCTGCTGGGGTGCTGATGGGCAGACTATACCTGGAATATGATGCGAGGACTTGTCACCTTGTCACCCAACAATCACCTGGGTCTTGGAGCAAGGATGTTTCAGTAGGGATGAGCTGGGGGCTTCAGGCTCCTGAGAAGCAAAGAAGAGACATTAGACACAATCTCTTTGGCCCCAGAATCTCCATGCCTGTGGCTATTACAAGAGGAATGATTCCATTTGGCTCAGTACCAGGAAGGACTCCTATGTAATGCAAACTAAGATTGGATGAGAGCGGGAGGTCACGTCACAGGGAGTGGGCAGACACGGGGTGGTTACAAGAGGAATGATTCCATTTGGCTCAGCAGCAGGAAGGACTCCTAGCTGTAATGCAAACTAAGATCGGATGAGAGCGGGGAGGTCACGTCACAGGGAGTGGGCAGACACGGGGTGAAGCACCACCAGGCAGGGGCATCAATGGGGGAATTCAGAAGATAGGAAACCAACAAGATGGCCTTGAATCCAGGCATGCTACCACATCACTTGTATAAATGGAAGATCATATTTTAAACTAGAGGGCCAGTGCACGAATTCATGCACCAGTGGGGTCCCTCGGCGTGGCCTGTGGGGATTAGG